AAAAAGTTGCAAATTTGACATGAATGTTTCTATTTACATATACAATCCTTTGTAAAATTTTCATGCCAAATAGACATGTCAAAAATGTCTTAATTATTATTTTTTTAGTTTTTGCCTCGAGCCCTAGGGGTACCATCACGTTTTTTTGGCCAAATTTTAAATTCATCAAAAAAGTTGCCGAATTTGACATGGATGTTTCAATTTGAACGTAAAATCCTTTGTAAAAGTTTCAAGTCAAAAAGTCTTGTCAATACAACAACAACAATAACAACCCAGTTGAATCCCACTACAGTAGGTCTGGGGAGTTGATTCCATCAAAAAAAGTTGCAAAATTTGACATGGATGTTTCTATTTACATATACAATCCTTTGTAAAATTTTCATGACAAATAGACATGTCAATAATGTATTAATTACTATTTTTTTAGTTTTGGCCTCAAGCCCTAGGGGTACCATCACGTTTTTTTGGCCAAATTTTAAATTTATCAAAATAGTTGCCGAATTTGACATGGATGTTTCTATTTGAACGTAAAATCCTTTGTAAAAGCTTCATGTCAAAAAGTCTTGTCAATCATATCTAAGTTATTATTTTTTTAGTTTTACCCTCGTGCTCCTAGGGGTACCATCACAATATTTGGCTAAATTTTGATTCCATCAAAAAAAGTTGCAAAATTTGACATGGATGTTTCTATTTACATATACAATCCTTTGTTAACTTATCATGCCAAATAGACATGTCAATACCTTCTTAATTATTATTTTTTAGTTTTGGCCTCGAGCCCTAGGGGTACCATCACGTTTTTTGGCCAAATTTTAAATTCATCAAAAAAGTTGCGGAATTTGACATGGATGTTTCTATTTGAACGTAAAATCCTTTTTAAAAGCTTCATGTCAAAAAGTCTTGTCAATAATATCTAAATTATTATTTTTTTAGTTTTGTCCTCGAGCTCCAAGGGGTACCATCACAATATTTGGCTAAATTTTAATTCCATCAAAAAAGTTGCAAAATTTGACAAGAATGTTTCTATTTACATATACCATCCTTTGTAAAATTTTCATGCCAAATATACATGTCAATAATGTCTTAATTATTATTTTTTTAGTTTTGGCCTCAAGCCTTAGGGATACCATCACGTTTTTTTGGCCAAATTTTAAATTCATCAAAAAAGTTGCCGAAGTTTACATAGATGTTTCTATTTGAACGTAAAATCCTTTTTAAAAGTTTCATGTCAAAAAGTCTTGTCAATACAACAACAACAACTCAGTTGAATCCCACTACAGTAGGGTCTGGGGAGGGTGTGTGTACGCAGACCTTGCCCCTACTCGGAAGTAGGGAGGCTGTTTCCAAGATACCCCCGGCTCAACCTGCACAAAAATATGGTAGGGAACACAATATAACAGGGTAACAGGATATAACAAGATATAAGAAGATATAACAGGATAAAGCACCAAGTACAATGAAATGAAAGTCCAGCAATATTATTTTTTTAGTTTTGTCCTCGAGCTACAATGGGTACCATTACAATATTTGGCTAAATTTTGATTCCATCAAAAAAGTTGCAAAATTTGACATGAATGTTTCTATTTACATATACAATCCTTTGTAAAATTTTCATGCCAAATAGACATGTCAATAATGTATTAATTACTATTTTTTTAGTTTTGGCCTCAAGCCCTAGGGGTACCATCACGTTTTTTTGGCCAAATTTTAAATTTATCAAAAAAGTTGCCAAATTTGACATGGATGTTTATATTTGAACGTAAAATCCTTTGTAAAAGCTTCATGTCAAAAAGTCTTGTCAATAATATCTAAATTATTTTTTTTTTAGTTTTACCCTCGTGCTCCTAGGGGTACCATCACAATATTTGGCTAAATTTTAATTCCATCAAAAAAGTTGCAAAATTTGACATGAATGTTTCTATTTACATATACAATCCTTTGTAAAATTTTCATGCCAAATAGACATGTCAATAATTTCTTAATTATTATTTTTTTAATTTTGGCCTCGAGCCCTAGGGCTACGATCACGTTTTTTTGGCCAAATTTTAAATTCATCAAAAAAGTTGCCGAATTTGACATGGATGTTTCTATTTGAACGTAAAATCCGTTGTAAAAGCTTCATGTCAAAAATTCTTGTCATTAATATCTAAATTATTATTTTTTTAGTTTTACCCTCGAGCTCCTAGGGGTACCATCACAATATTTGGCTAAATTTTGATTCCATCAAAAAAAGTTGCAAAATTTGACATGGATGTTTCTATTTACATATACAATCCTTTGTTAACTTATCATGCCAAATAGACATGTCAATAATTTCTTAATTATTATTTTTTTAGTTTTGGCCTCGAGCCCTAGGGGTACCATCACGTTTTTTGGCCAAATTTTAAATTCATCAAAAAAGTTGCGGAATGTGACATGGATGTTTCTATTTGAACGTAAAATCCTTTGTAAAAGCTTCATGTCAAAAAGTCTTGTCAATAATATCTAAATTATTATTTTTTTAGTTTTGCCCTCGAGCTCCAAGGGGTACCATCACAATATTTGGCTAAATTTTAATTCCATCAAAAAAGTTGCAAAATTTGACATGAATGTTTCTATTTACATATACCATCCTTTGTAAAATTTTCATGCCAAATATACATGTCAATAATGTCTTAATTAATATTTTTTTAGTTTTTGGCCTCAAGCCTTAGGGATACCATCACGTTTTTTTGGACTAATTTTAAATTCATCAAAAAAGTTGCCGAATTTTACATGGATGTTTCTATTTGAACGTAAAATCCTTTTTAAAAGTTTCATGTCAAAAAGTCTTGTCAATAATATCTAAATTACTATTTTTTTAGTTTTGCCCTCGAGCTCCAAGGGATACCATCACAATATTTGGTTAAGTTTTGTTTCCATCAAAAAAAGTTGCAAATTTGACATGAATGTTTCTATTTACATATACAATCCTTTGTAAAATTTTCATGCCAAATAGACATGTCAAAAATGTCTTAATTATTATTTTTTTAGTTTTGGCCTCGAGCCCTAGGGGTACCATCACGTTTTTTTGGCCAAATTTTAAATTCATCAAAAAAGTTGCCGAATTTGACATGGATGTTTCAATTTGAACGTAAAATCCTTTGTAAAAGCTTCATGTCAAAAAGTCTTGTCAATAATATCTCAATTATTATTTTTTAGTTTTGTCCTCGAGCTCCAATGGGTACCATTACAATATTTGGCTAAATTTTGATTCCATCAAAAAAGTTGCAAAATTTGACATGAATGTTTCTATTTACATATACGATCCTTTGTAAAATTTTCATGCCAAATAGACATGTCAATAATGTATTATTTACTATTTTTTTTAGTTTTGGCCTCAAGCCCTAGGGGTACCATCACGTTTTTTTGGCCAAATTTTAAATTCATCAAAATAGTTGCCGAATTTGACATGGATGTTTCTATTTGAACGTAAAATCCTTTGTAAAAGCTTCATGTCAAAAAGTCTTGTCAATAATATCTAAATTATTATTTTTTTAGTTTTGGCCTCGAGCCCTAGGGGTACCATCACGTTTTTTTTTGAACAAAGCACAATCTATTAAAACCAAAGCGTTCATACAAACCCAAGACCTGGGCAGAATACACCAAACACAAACTACTACAAATTACAAACACCACCAATGGCTAATCTTCATTGATTCAGTCCCCTCTGTTCGCTGCCATGGATAACACAGTCTTCACCTCTTCAGCAACTTTTGCACTAGTTTCTTCTCTCTTGTTATGAAGCTTGGAGTTCCTTGCCTTCCACACATAATAGCAGCAGGCTACTATGCTCGAGGCAATCCACAGTCTGTCCTTCCTATTCTTTCCTTTCCACATTTTATCCTTCAGCTTAGTTAGTGATGTAGAAGTTAAATCATGTCTCAACCAAGGACGAAGGGCCTTGTGCACTGATACAACAAAAGAGCACGTACAGAAGAGGTGGTCAGCAGATTCTACCTCCTCCTCACACAGCACACATTTGGTATCAATGTCCATGAATTCTCCCTTTCCATATAAGCCAAGCAATAAATCTGTGTTTTGGTATGGACCATTTGTTCCAAACCAAGTCATGCCATTTAACCCTTGTATGCATACCTATAAGCCAATCATATCCAATCTTGCTGTCATAACTTGTCATAGTAGTCATGCCTTGAAACAGCTTTCTATTTTGGAGCATTTTCTTCCAGTAATAACAGTCATCCTGTTTGGGGGAGTATTCCCAAACAGTAGCCCCCTTCAAATATTTGGTGTGGATCCATTTGACCCATAAGGTATCCTTTTTGCTAGCAATATCGCAGATCAACCTCATGATTCACGCTTGATTCCATTTCAACAGATTTTTAAGGCCTAAACCACCTTCTTGTTTAGGCAAGCATACTTCCTCCCAGTTGATTAAGGGACATTTTTTATACTCAAGGGAAGAGCTCCAGAGATAATTCCTACAGAGAGCCATGATTTTCTTCATTACCTTTTTAGGTATCAAGAATATCCTACTCCAGAAGGAAATAATACCATACAGAACCGAGTTAATCAACTTGGCTCTACCTGCATAGGACAAATTTTTTGTGGTCCAGGAAGTAATTTGCCTAGTTAGTTTATCCACCAGAACGTCACAATATCTCTCACTTATCCTGGAGGCAGTTATAGGTCCACCTAGATATCTAAATGGAAAAGCTCCTTTAGCCATACCAATTCTCTTCAGGATTTCACTCTGGATCTCATTTGTGACTCCTCCCAGAAAGATTTGAGACTTGTTATAATTAAGAGTTAATCCCATAGTGTCCTTGAAATGCCTAAGGCTGGAAAGGATACACTCAATGGAGTCAACTTCAGCCTTGCAAGCAACAATTAAATCATCAGCAAACACAATATTGATTAAACTAAGAGCCTTGCATCTAGGATGGTACTTAAATCTGTCATTTTTTGAGTAGTAGGAGAGGGCTCTGGTTAAATACTCCATGATTAAGGTGAATAACAAGGGGGAGACTGGATCCCCTTGTCTTAGTCCCTTGCCTCCCATGAAATGGCCAAAGCTTTCTCCATCAAGTTGTATCGAGTATGCAGCAGTTGTCACACAGAACTGAATCCATGTGACAAATTTCACTGGAAATTTAAGAGCTTCCATTATCTGAAACATCCCCTTCCAACTAACTGAGTCATAAGCCTTCCTTAGGTCCAGTTTCATGAGACATCTGGAACTGATGTGTCTTCTGTTATAACCCCTAGCTAGCTCCTGGCATAAGAGAACATTGTGGACAAGATCTCTCCCCTCAACAAAAGCACCCTGATTAGTGTTAATGATATGAGGTAGGACCAGTTTTAATCTGTTACAAATGATCTTTGATATCACCTTGTATATCACGTTGCAACATGCAATGGGCCTGAATTCGTTAGGGCTTTCTGGTGAATCAGTCTTGGGAATAAGACAGATGTTAGTGTGGTTAATCTGCTTCAGAGTAGTCCCATCCTTGAAGAAATCCATCACTGCTTTAGTTACCAGTTCCCCAACCACTTCCCATTGGTTTTGGAAGAAACCACTACTATAGCCATCTGGACCTGGGCTCTTGCAACTAGGGATATCAAATATACACTTCTTCACTTCCTTAGCAGTTCCTTAGCAGAGACAGGGCCAATCAAGTTGAGCTGTTGGTCAACAGATAAGACCCCACCTTCCTTAATAATATTCAGATTAATATCTTCAGTTCCTTCTGTTTTACCAAATAAATTCTAAAAGTAATCAATCATAGTTTGTGCCACTCCATTTCTACCTTCCACCACCTGCCCTTCAGAGTTCTTAATAGACCCAATGTGGTTGTTCAGTCTTCTCTTTTTAACCCAGGCATGAAACAATCTGGAATCCTTATCCCCCTCCTGAATCCATTCTTGTTTCACTCTTTGATACTTCATAAGTCTTGCTGCCTTCATATTCCAGTTCAATTCCTTTATGGTGTCCATTTCCCTGTTGATCATGGCTTCACTAGTATCACCTCTTTTAATTATATCCTAAATTTGGAATAGTTTCTCCCTCAACAAATTGCATTGGAAGATGGAGGAGAACTTGTCCCTATTCAGTTTTTTGAGATCTGCCTTCAAGTTTTTGAGTTTTGAAACCAGTTGCCACATATGTCTTCCTTCCACATCCAATTTCCAGATTCTCCCCACTATATTAGGAAACTGAGGGTCCAAAGTCCACATATTGCAAAATTTAAAAGGGTAGTTTCCCTTCCCAGTCTTACATTCTCTGAGTATCAGAGGAGAGTGATCTGATAATCCCTCCTCTCTAATTATCACCTTTGTATCAAAATTCATGAACCACTCCACATTAGCTAATGCTCTATCTATTTTAGAATAAATCTTTTTACCAGGTCCTTGTCTGTTAGACCAAGTGTACTTAGGCCCATCAACAGGAATTTCCTCAAGCCCACACTCCTGATTACATTGCCTAAATTCTTTAGTTTCTTCCCAGGATACTGGGTTACCCCCAATTCTGTCCTCCATATCTAGTACACAATTAAAGTCTCCCAACACACACCAAGCTTCATTACATGTAGCTGCTAGCTTCTCCAGGTCTTTCCATAAATCTGTTCTTCTAGAGGCTTCATTATGTCCATAAACAAATGTAATAAGAAAACCCCTATTCTCATTAAGCCATTTGCATCTGCAGTGGATCCATTGATCTGTTAGATCCACAATAGTTACACTTATCTTATTAGGTTTCCATAAAATCCATATTCTACCCAAAGGATGGGAAGTGTTATTTATGAAGGAGTTCCACCCCTGGCATACCTTCCCTTCAACTGCCTTGAAATTATTATCCCTGATTTTGGTTTCTAGTAATCCACAGAGCTCAATATTATTCTTTTTCAAGAAGAAGAGGACTTCCTCCTGTTTATTAGGACTATTTAGTCCTCTAACATTCCAGCAACCTATCATTTTAAAAAGGGGAAATGCCCCTCATAAGGGGCCTTTTCTAGTAATTTCTGTAGGCTACTCATAAAGTCTGCCTCCTCCTTTTCCAGTACTAGCTTCCTAGCAGCCTTCTTCCCACTTACAGTTGTAAATTCTTCCTCATTAGGGTTGTTCTGATTAGGGACCTTTTGTTCATCCACCTTCTTGTCCAGTTTGGGAGCTTCTTCTTGTCCTTCTTCCTTCTTTTCTGTGGCACCATCTGTTTGCTTAGGACGCCACACCATATTTCTAGATTTCTCATTTTGTTTTGTGGCTTCTTTCCTTCTACACATCTCTTGCATATGTCCCATCCTTTTGCAATGAGAACATATACAGGGATACCATTCATATTCTACTTTTTGGGAAATTACTCGCCCTGTCTCATCAATAAATCCAATTTCATGTGGGAAATCTTGATGCACCTTGACTTCAATTTGGATCCTGGCATAGGCAAATTTAGTTTTATTAGCTGTAGCCTTGTCCCTTTTCACTGGTTTCCCAATCAGACTGCCCAGCTTGCTTAGTCCAGACAAACTCCAGTACTTAACATCCAAATCTGGGAAGAGAACCCATATAGGAATGTCTCTCAATTCTTCCAGATTGATCTTCTTTCCAGGTTTCCACTGCTGTACCAAAACCGGTTTATTATCAAAATAGTAATACTTCCTTTTAATAGCTTCCTTCATGTCTTCTTCTTTTGAGAAGGTCACTATAAATTGTCCTTCCTTCAGCACATCCACATCATCAATGGGAAACAAACTCCATATTCGTTTAACATAGCCCTTTACCACCTCCAGAGGTGGATTAGCCCCCAGTATACAACAAACAACTGATGAATTCCAGTAAGTAGAAGGTTCAATAACATCATCTTTAGTGAGCTGGGCAACTAAGTTTCCATTTACCTCAGTCGCAGGGATAAACTGTAGATCCAGATTTCCAACCACAATATCTGCATACGAGAGAGCTTCCGGTTTTGAAGGATTCACTTCCAGAACATCCTGATCCTGAATTGCTTCCTCCTTGTTCAACAGATCTGCATCCTCATTCTCAATTTGTTCCAGCTGAATTGCACTCGCAGGGTTTGCTGAGCCTTTAGATCCCTTTTCCGAAACTTTAGATTCACTCTCCGGTGTATTATTTAGTATTTCCTTCTTGTTTTGATCGTTCATCGGCGTATTGTTAGGCGTCGTCCTCTTCCTTGGCCTTCCTCGTCGCCGCGACATGGCTAGAGAGAGAAAAGCTTTTAAAAAAAAATTTTAAATTTTTTGGCCAAATTTTAAATTAATCAAAAAAGTTGCTGAATTTGACATGGATGTTTCTATTTGAACCTAAAATCCTTTGTAAAAGTTTCATGTCAAAAAGTCTTGTCAATAATATCTAAATTATTATTTTTTTAGTTTTGTCCTCGAGCTCCAAGGGGTACCATCACAATTTTTGGCTAAATTTTGATTCCATCAAAAAAAGTTGCAAAATTTGACATGAATGTTTCTATTTACATATACAATCCTTTGTAAAATTTTCATTCCAAATAGACATGTCAAAAATGTCTTAATTACTATTTTTTTAGTTTTGGCCTCAAGCCCAAGGGGTACCATCACGTTTTTTTGGCCAAATTTTAAATTTATCAAAAAAAGTTGCCAAATTTGACATGCATGTTTATATTTGAACGTAAAATCCTTTGTAAAAGCTTCATGTCAAAAAGTCTTGTCAATAATATCTAAATTATTATTTTTTTTAGTTTTACCCTCGTGCTCCTAGGGGTACCATCACAATATTTGGCTAAATTTTGATTCCATCAAAAAAGTTGCAAAATTTGACATGAATGTTTCTATTTACATATACAATCCTTTGTAAAATTTTCATGCCAAATAGACATGTCAATAATTTCTTAATTATTATTTTTTTAGTTTTGGCCTCGAGCCCTAGGGCTACGATCACGTTTTTTTGGCCAAATTTTAAATTCATCAAAAAAGTTGCCGAAGTTGACATGGATGTTTCAATTTGAACGTAAAATCCTTTGTAAAAGCTTCATGTCAAAAAGTCTTGTCAATACAACAACAACAATAACAACCCAGTTGAATCCCACTACAGTAGGTCTGGGGAGTTGATTCCATCAAAAAAAGTTGCAAAATTTGACATGGATGTTTCTATTTACATATACAATCCTTTGTAAAATTTTCATGACAAATAGACATGTCAATAATGTATTAATTACTATTTTTTTAGTTTTGGCCTCAAGCCCTGGGGTACCATCACGTTTTTTTGGCCAAATTTTAAATTTATCAAAATAGTTGCCGAATTTGACATGGATGTTTCTATTTGAACGTAAAATCCTTTGTAAAAGCTTCATGTCAAAAAGTCTTGTCAATCATATCTAAGTTATTAATTTTTTAGTTTTACCCTCGTGCTCCTAGGGGTACCATCACAATATTTGGCTAAATTTTGATTCCATCAAAAAAAGTTGCAAAATTTGACATGGATGTTTCTATTTACATATACAATCCTTTGTTAACTTATCATGCCAAATAGACATGTCAATAATTTCTTAATTATTATTTTTTTAGTTTTGGCCTCGAGCCCTAGGGGTACCATCACGTTGTTTGGCCAAATTTTAAATTCATCAAAAAAGTTGCGGAATGTGACATGGATGTTTCTATTTAAACGTAAAATCCTTTGTAAAAGCTTCATGTCAAAAAGTCTTGTCAATAATATCTAAATTATTATTTTTTTAGTTTTGCCCTCGAGCTCCAAGGGATACCATCACAATATTTGGCTAAGTTTTGTTTCCATCAAAAAAAGTTGCAAATTTGACATGAATGTTTCTATTTACATATACAATCCTTTGTAAAATTTTCATGCCAAATAGACATGTCAAAAATGTCTTAACTATTATTTTTTTAGTTATGGCCTCGAGCCCTAGGGGTACCATCACGTTTTTTTTGGCCAAATTTTAAATTCATCAAAAAAGTTGCCAAATTTGACATTGATGTTTCTATTTGAACGTAAAATCCTTTGTAAAAGCTTCATATCAAAAAGTCTTGTCAATAATATCTAAATTATTATTTTTTTAGTTTTGCCCTCGAGCTCCAAGGGGTACCATCACAATATTTGGCTAAATTTTAATTCCATCAAAAAAGTTGCAAAATTTGACATGAATGTTTCTATTTACATATACCATCCTTTGTAAAATTTTAATGCCAAATAGACATGTCAATAATGTCTTAATTATTATTTTTTTAGTTTTGGCCTCAAGCTTTAGGGATACCATCACGTTTTTTTGGCCAAATTTTAAATTCATCAAAAAAGTTGCCGAATTTTACATAGATGTTTCTATTTGAACGTAAAATCCTTTTTAAAAGATTCATGTCAAAAATTCTTGTCAATAATATCTAAATTATTATTTTTTTAGTTTTGCCATCGAGCTCCAAGG